TCGGCATCGTCGGCAGCAGCAGCATCATCATCAGCATCAGCATCATGATCAGCATTAGCCTCATCATCATCATCATCATCATCAGCATCATCATCATCATCATCATCATCATCATCATCAGTCGCAGCATCATCAGCATCATCGTCAGCATAGGCATCCTCATCAGCATCACTGCAAGCATCAGCATCATCCTTGTAATCATCATCAGCAGCAGCATCATCATCAGCAGCATCAGCATCAGCATCAGCATCAGCAGCATTACCAAATTCATCATCAAGGCCATCGCCAGCATCACACTAAGCACCGTCATAATCAGCAGAAGCAGCATCAGCAGCAGCATCATCAGCCGCATCATCATGATCATAATCGTCATCATCAGCAGCAGCATCAGCATCATCAGCATCATCATCACCAGAAGCCTCAGCATTAGAATATGAGTTTTCAGCACCATCGCCACCAGTAGCAGCAGCAGCAGCAGCATTCGCATCAGCACCAGCATCATCATCAGCAGCATCAGAATCGTCATTGTCATCAGCATCATCACCATCAGCATCATCAGCAGTATCATCAGCAGCATGTTCATCGCTGTACGTATCATCATAAACATCATCATCAGCATCATCATCGTCGTCAGCCTCATCATCAGCATCATCAGCATCACTACCATCAGCATCATCATCATCATCATCATCAGCAGCAGCAGCCTCATCAGCAACATCAGCATCATCATCAGCAGCATCATCATCATCAGGATCATCATCGGCAGCATCGTCGTCATCATCGTGAGCACCATTAACGCCACAGCAATCATTAACAACAGCGTCGACATCGTCCGATTCTTCATCATCGGCATCATCATCACCATTACCATCAACAACATCAGCATCCACATCGGGAGCATCGTCATATCGTCAGCATCCGCATCACCATCATCAGCACCACCATCAGCCACATCACCATCAGCGTCATCTTCAGCATGCTCGTCAGCATCGCCGTCATCATCATGATCATCACAAGTTATATCGTCATGGGCATGGCCATCGTCATCGTCACCATCATCGTCATCATCATCGCCATCATCAGCAGCAGCAGCATCAACAGCAGCATCGTCAGCATCATCGTCACCACCACTAGAACCATCATCAACATCACCACCACCGTCGGCATCGTCACCGTCGTCGTCACAGGTGTCACGTCATGGCCCGCCCATGCGAGGGGAGCGGCCAGCCAAGAGGCGGTCGCGACCGAGGGACGGCTCGGCACGCAGCAAGCCGCTGGGGGGGGGGGGGCGCGGCGGGGCACGAGAGGAGCCTTGGCCTGGGGGAGGCCAAGTCCAGCCGAAGGCCCACCAGCTGCAGACGCATGGCTCCGACTGGACGTGCTCGAGCCAGACCTGGCACCGCCCACGGGGAGTTGAGTCCAGCTGGAGGCCTGCTCCAGCCAGGCCCAGCGTCGCCCGAGAGGGGGGTAAGTCCAGCTGGGGGCCCGCCAGGTGGAGCACGTTGGTTGGCTGCGACTGGAGTGGCCCCCACAGGGCGTGGCTTCGCCCGACTTGCACACCGCCTCTGCGCAGAACGTACAAGGCCACCCTGGAACAAACTGCGCATCCGCCAGTCCGCACGGATTTCGGCGCCGGAGCGCGCGTCAGAGACGCCGCGCAGAGATGTGGGGAGAGGGGTCCAGCGCGAACTCCGGAGAACCACAGGGAACTCCCACAGTTTTTGCGACTGCCGTGCATCTGCAGTTTGGTCGATCTCGGCAACATTGTCATTCACTGCTGCCGTCAATCCCACCGACGTCGATGTGCAGAGCTGAGCTCGCAAAGCGAAGCCAATCGCACGTGCATCACGCGGGCGGGCATTTTTGTTCGCACTCGGCGGCGAGATCCATCCACGCGCAGGCGTGCCCTGGCTCCACCAGAAGCGCCAGGCCCCAGTCACCACGGTCGATGTGGCCGAGGCGACCTTCACTTGAGAGGAGGACATTCGACCACCGCTCCACCACCCGCTTGCCCAACTCCACCGCCACATCTCCCCAACATTGGGGAGCAGCCAGGAGCCGGCTCGAGGGGCAGCAGGGTGCCCTGGGCCCTTCACACGAGTCTCGCCAGCAGCGGAGCGGCAGTCGGTGAGCCCTAGGCCCGAAAGTCAAATTGCAAGCGCACGCGCCGTCTGGTCACGCACTCAATTCGTTCAAACTCGCGAAGCGGCGTGGCCATCCATCCACGCAGGAGAAAGCAGCGAAACGAAGAGAAAGTCGGAGTCATGCAAGGGTTCAGTAAGCACGTTCCGTGCCGTCGCGCCATGGCACGCCACGTTGTCGAATCACGAACCCACGCAGTACAACGCAGTCTGTGCATGGCCGCAACGTGCCGTCGTGCCGTGCAACTCCGGGACGTGAACTCGCGAATCGATGTCGGCAGAGCGCGTGCTGTGCCGTGCCATGCCGTGCCCTGCCGTGCCGTCCTGCCCAAGTCATGCCGTGCCGTCGTACCGTGCCTCTGCACTGCCAACTCGTCCAGCTCTTGCGACCGCGCCCTCGTGCCTTGCCGTGCCGCGCCGTGTGGGCAACCAACTCGCGAACATTCTTCCGTGAGGCATTCCCTTCCGGAAGCGTTCATTCTTAGCATACCCGCCTCTTCCGTTCTGACAGCATCCAAGACGGCCCAGGGGCTCAAAGATCGCCCCAAGACGCCCCAAAAGCCCCAAAGGCGGCCCCAGGACGGCCCAAAACAGGGGCCCCAGGGGCGCCCAGGACGGCCCAAAGGAGCGCCCAAAGGGCCCCCAGAGGGGCCCGTGACAAACCGCGAGAAAAAACGCCTCGCCGTGAAAAAAACGAGAGGGCCGTGCCTCGCCGTGAGAGACCGTGCCCGCGCGGTCGGCGCGCGGCTCCGTGCCGCGGGGCGCGCGCCCTGCCGTGCCGTGCCGTCGTTGCTGCGTCGCGTCGTGGTGTGATGCATCGGTTGGGGGGGGGGGGGCGCGTGCGGTGCCGCGCCGTGCCGTGCAATACCTTCAGCTCTGAAGGGGCCCCCGGGACACACAAGTGAATGCACACAAGTTAGGAGGATTCCCCATACTTTCCCACAGTTTCTGGGTCTCTGTCTTCCCCCACCACTTCCCATACTTTCCAATATTTTCTGGGGAATCGATGATGAATTGTGTCTGTGTGTTTATTCCCTCCTGAAGCTCGTGAACGTGTTCCGTGGTTCGCGCACCGTGCCCTGCTGACAACTCCCGGGCCCACTCCACGGACGCGCGGGCGTCCCAGGCGCAGCTGCGTGCCCCGCCTCTGTCTTCCCCCACCACTTCCCATACTTTCCAATATTTTCTGGGGAATCGATGATGAATTGTGTCTGTGTGTTTATTCCCTCCTGAAGCTCGTGAACGTGTTCCGTGGTTCGCGCACCGTGCCCTGCTGACAACTCCCGGGCCCACTCCACGGACGCGCGGGCGTCCCAGGCGCAGCTGCGTGCCCCGCCTCGCCAGATGCCCGCCAAAGGAGCAGCGAACATCCGTGCCGTGAGCACGCCACTCGCAAAGCCCCACCGTCGCCACGGCCAGTGTGGCCGAGGCGGGGTGGCATTCCCTCGAGGGCAAGAACATCCCCAAACCTCCGAGGTCGTGACCCGCTCCGTGCCCAGTCCCTGGAGCTCTCGACCCCCCATCTGGGGGACCAGGTCCTCGCTCTGGCTCGGCCTTGCTCCCCCGAGCCCGATAACGGCCCCCGGGCAAAGAAGGCTGCAGCAGACAAACTCTGTCCTGCCTTTTGTCCAGAGGTCTCCCAGCCTCACTCTTCCACCCACCCACCCCGCCTCCGCCTCAGCACCTCCCCTGCCGCGGGGATCAGCTCGGGGACGAGCGCGGAAGAGCGAGCGAGAAGTACGCTCTAGCCATACCGACTGGGCTCGCACCAAGACTTGAAAAACGCACCGAGCTGTGCAATGCATGATACGCGCCAGGAGATCCTTCGAACTACCGACGCAGTGTGGCATCTATCCACGCAGGAGAAAACAACATAACGAAGAGAGAAACGGAGTCCGGTATAATATCAGACTCCGGGTCACTCTTCATTTATACCAGCCGCATAGCAGGAAAAATCATAGGCCTACTAAGACCAGCGGTATAGTGGGCGCCGAGATGGTAGCAGTTGGTTCGGACGGTGTCCGAATCCACTAACTTCCAAAAGACAGCATAGTGCGATGTCCACGACTTCCCCAATGGGGGGAAGGGGATTCCACCACGCTGAGAACCGGCTTAGGAGGAGGAGGAGGAGGAGGAGGAGGAGGAGAACGAGAACGAGAACGAGAACGAGAACGAGAACGAGAACGAGAACGAGAACGAGAACGAGAACGTGAACGTGAACGACGACGACGACGACGACGACGACAACGACGACGACGACGACGACGACGACGACGACGACGACGACGACGCGGACGCCGCCGACGACGACGACGACGACGAAGGGAAGAGGCGGAGCGAGAGGAGGGACAGCCCGTGGCCGCTCTTGTGCCCCCGGCCCCTCGGGATCGCCGCGCGCAGCTGTGCCGGGAAGAGCAGCGAATCCGAGTGTCGCGGGGTCGCCGGCATATTTTCAATCATCTTGCAGCATCAGGCTCGGCGGCGGGCGAGAGGGGGAAGCGAGAAGGAGAAGGCCTTCTCGGGAGGCGGCGGGACTTCTCAGAGGCCCTCGCGCCTTCCGGGAAGTGTTCTGTGTCTTCGGGGAGGGCTCAGAATACGTCCGAGCCTTCTGAGAAGGTCGGGGGCGCGCAAACATGGATTAGCGATCCATGGATTTGGCGCGCGGTCGACAAATCCATGTATCGGGGGAGGTGCCCTCCCCCAAATGCGGCAGGTGCCGCCTCGTTCGTCGGCGGAAATTCGCGATTTCCCATGGAAACGGGACCCGTCGCTAATCCACGCCCCCTTGATCCATGTTTGCGAGCGCCTGAGAAAGTCCGCTCCTTCTAGCTTCCCCTCCGCGATCGCCGCCGACAGGCATCAGTGGCTCTTCGTGCCTGCCGGGCTCGGCCCGACCCGCTCGCCCGCGCCGCTGGTCTGCATCGCAATGGTGCCCCCGGGCTTCGGGCCACCGTCGCGCATGGACTTCAGCATGGCCCACACGCTGGGCCAGTGCTTTCTGGCCGTCGCAACATCCAGCGCCGTCCTCCCGGCGCAGTCCGGCACGTCGGGGTCGGCCCGGAGCGCGATGAGGAGGGGCATCAGGTCGTCCCTGCGGAGCTCTGCGGCCAGGTGCAGGCAAGTGGTGTGCTGGGTCTGCCACGAGAGCACCCCGGCCCCACCAGCAGCCGTGAACATGACTGCCGCCCTCAAGGACTGCGGCTCCAGGGGGAGGAGGTTGAGCGCCTCCGCCAGCGCCAGGCTCAGACACCTCCACTGTAAGATCGCCCCCTTCGGAGTGAACCAGCAGTCCTGGCCGCCTCCAGCGTCGCTGGCCAGCTCATCCAGCTTCTTCGCCGCCAGGCAGGCGGGCTGCAACGGCGAGAAGGCGGCGACGTCGCGGCCGCGCGACTTGGCCACGTCCGCCGGGGTCCTGCCTCTGGAGTCCTTCGCCTCCAGGTCCCCGCGCATCGCGACGAGCAGCGGGACAACGTCCGGGCGGCCACACTCCGCCGCGAGGTGCAGGGCGGTGTAGTCGCGCCGCCACGTAATGTGGCTCCAGCCACTGGACACCACGAGGTGTATGACCTTCTTCAAGGACGCGGGCTGGATCTCCACGAGCTCCACAGCCTCGTGCACGGCGCCCTGGAGGCGCTCCACCTCTCCGATTGCCGCCTCGAGGGACTGCGGCGGCGCGCCCTGGCAGTCTGGAGACCACCCGAGCCTGTAGAGATGCTGCTCCACGTCCCCGAATGCCGCTTGGAGGGGCTGCGCTGGTGCGCCCTGGCGGTCTGGCAGCCACCGGCGCTCGTAGGACTGCTGTTGCGCCTGGGGCTCGAGCGCATAGATGGCGGTCTCGTTCGCGATGCGCTCGTTCGCTGCCAGGTTTTCTTCGAAACTCCAGCCGCGCAGCACCGCGTCATCCCCGAACGTGTCCGTGTTGGCTGTGTCGGCACCCGCCTCGCGGTCCTCGCGCGCCTGCATCGACCAGAGCGCATACTCGTCCGTGCTCAGCGGCTGTGGCTCGCGGTGGACCGTGTGGGCCCTCGCGCACCCACCCGGCGGGCGAAGCATGCGGAGGAGCACGGTGCCAGCCGAGGCACCGTCCTCTTCTGCCACGGCCGCCCGCTGCACCGTGGAAGCGCGCGGTCGCGCGGGGCACGCGTCCCGGGCGTCTCCCGTGCTCGACAGGGTGTCCTCCGGGCCCGCGGACTCCGAGTTGGACTCGCAGCATGCCTCGGAGCCTCGGGTGCTCGCAGTCGCGTCGGTCTGCAGCTCCACCGTGCCCGCCGGGCCACCCAAGGCCTCGGTGCCCGTCTGGTTCGCGCCCTGCTCAAGCCACTGGAGCGCGGCACTCCCCTTCGGCACCCAACACTGCGCGGAGCTCGACAGCTGGTGTCTCACCATTGTCTGGCGGAGGATCTCGAAAGTCGGAGGAGCTCTGGCGGAGGAGCTCGAAAGTCAAAAGTCGAGGAGCTCGATCCTGGCCCACGGTGCCCCCAGCCCTTCTCGGAGCAATGGACGCCCTGGGGCCCTCCCCGCCTCGCGAGGGGTGCTCTGAAAGCGCCAGCGGGGCCTTCCTGGAAGAGCTGGGGTCAGCTTGGGCCAGAATCACCTCTGGCAACACCCGCAAGGGTGCGGAGACTCGAGAGGCCAGCCGTGCTCGGGCAACCTCGCTCGGCTTGGGCCACAAGCTGGCCACGCCACCAAAGCCCGCCGCTGAAGACGAGGTGAGAGCTCCGAGCACCCGGAGGCACAGCGAGGAGATGTCCTTCTCCCGCCTTCTGCAACGCGTGGCTGACTCCGGAATCCCCGGTTGTATCGACGTCGACCCAACACGTGGCTGACTCCAGAATCCTCGGGTGTACCGACGTCGACCTCGCTCTGGGGACACAAATGTACGTCCGCTGCCTGGCGCCAACCAGCTTCCGCGGGCAAGAAATCTGCCTCGGCTTGCTTCCGCCAGCCTTCCGCCAGCCTCCGCCCAAATCGAAAGCTCAGCCCTTCGGCCTTCGACGTAACTATCGAAGGCGACGCCCTTTCTTGGAACGCCCTGTGGCAGGTTCCTGCCTTGACGACGTGGGCCCTGGTTGCCAACACCGCGTGCCACGTTCGACCCCCGAGGTCCCCAGAGGCTCTGGGCCCCATCTCCCGAACGGATCTCGCGCTCCGGGCTCTCCTCCGTGGGCCCGTGGATGCCGAAGCGGGCCCCCCCAGGGGGGCGCTCCACCCCCTCGCGCCCACGCGGGCGCCGCCGCCGCGTCCAAGGCGGCGCGAGCCCGAGGGCGGCGCACGGCTGACGCAGGGCGACGGCAGACGTCGGCGGGCGGTGGCAGACATCGGCGGGCGGCTGCGGCGGGCGGGCGGCGGCGGCAGCGGGCAGCGACGGCGGGGGGGGCGGGCGGCCGACGCTTCCGCCAGCGCGAAGCCGAACGTGAAGAGCAGCTGCTCCCTGCTCTGCGCGCCGTAGGTGATGGTCACCTCCGCGCCGGGCTCCAGCGCCCGGCGGGCCACCAGCGCGACCTCCCCGCGGTCGCCGAGCCGGCACTCGGCGCTGGGGTCCGCGGCGCAGTTGCAGAAGTCGACGAGGGGGACCACCAGGGTGCACGCCTCGCCCGCACCGTCGTCGCCCGCCTCGGCAGCGTGGGCGACGCCCAGGCTCGGCCCCGCCCGGGTCAGCAGCACCGCGCGGGCCCACCGCCACCTGCTGTCGCTCCAGACCGCCTCCAGCTCGGGGCCCAGCTCCTGGACGGCCGCGGCCTGCTCCTGGTCCACCTGCTGCCGCAGGGCCTGCACTGCGGGCAGCAGGGCCGTGCCGCGCAGCTCGGCGGCGGCCTCGCCCTCGGAGAAGCAGAGTGGCAGGGAGGGGAAGCCGCCGGGGAGCGCCAGCAGGTACTCGCGCAGGCCGAGCGCGTCGCCGCCCTTCTCGGCGTCCCGGCGCGCCGTCGCGAGCAGCGCGCACAGCGCCGCCTCGCCGTCGAGGCCGTCCGCGCCCAGGAGCCTGCGCGCCCCCTCGCCCGTGAGGTGCGCCGCGCTGGGCACCATGAGGAGGACCTCGCCTTCCGCCACCGGCCCGAGCACGTGCAGCCCGGCACCACGCGCCCCCGCCCTCCGCAGCCGCAGCCGCTCGTCGGCCCGCACCCCGGCCGCGGCCAGCGCCTTCGGCATCGGCAGCGGCCGCCCATGCCCGTCGGGCGCCAGCCACCACAGCAGCCCCGCGGCCGCCGACAGCCCCCCCGCCAGCGCCGCGGCGCCCCCGCACGAGGCGAGGTGCACGGGCTGCTCCGCCTCCGAGGGCCAACGGCAGGGTGGGGGGAGGAGGTCGGCCTGGAACCGTCATGACCCCCGGAGGTCTTGACTTTTGTCATAACGTCGACCCCTGGAGGTCCCGACCCATTCCTCGGGACCGGCTTTTCATGCCGACTCCTTTCTTGACCGTCCCGAGGCCCAGCGAGGGCCCCTGGAGGGCGAAAAACCTCCCGTCGTGTTTCTGTTGTTTGCGCAGCGTGACGGGCAACGGTAGGGTTAGATCGGGCGTGACCCCCCACAGGCTGAGTTTGGACGAAAGAGAAAACATACTCCAGAACTGCTCCAAAAATGCCTCCAAATCCGTCAGAAAAATACCCCCCAGGTTATCTTTTGACCATTCTTGAATTAATTTCCCCCTGTGGTGGGACAGGCCCGACTGAACGGTAGGTAAGGAGCCACATCCTTGTTCCTTATTAGAATATACCCCCACCTACGTCGTATTCCGGCCGATAGCGACCCAATCCGGGACCTCCAATCCGGACTGTAAAAAATCCATACAAAGTGGCCGTCCTTCTTCTCAACATCGTCTTTCTTGTCGTCGACGATGCGAAAAGCGTGGCAAGAATGGGACGCGGCGCACATCGCGCGCGGCAGTCAATCTGGGCCCGCCCATCCTGACTGTAAAAATTCAATACAAAGTTTTCGCATTTTTCACCTCAGCATGGCCTGCCTTGTCGCCGACGGTGCGAAATATGTGGCAACAGTGGGACGCGGACATATGGGACGCGGCGCACATCGCGCGCGGCCGTCCAAATCAATACGAAGTCTCCGTTTTTCCTCTCAGCATGGCCTGCCTTGTCGCCGACGGTGCGAAATATGTGGCAGGAGTGGGACGCGGCGCGCATCGCGCGCGGACGTCCATGCGGGCTGTGGGCCCTCCCATCCTGACTATAAAAAACAATACAGAGTTGCCGTTATTCCTTTCATCATGGCCTGTCTTGTCGTCGACGATGCGAAATGCGTGGCAGGAATGGGGCGCGGCGCACATCGCGCGCGGACTTCTGGGGCAACCCCAAGGCGGGAGGGGCCACCTTACTTGTCAGAAGCAAAGCCATGCTGATTTTCGCTTGCCCACACAGCTGTTCTCGTCGTCCACCCCGCAAAAGTGCATGGCAAGAATTGGGCGCGGCACACACACACACACACACACACACCGCTCGAAGTGAATAAAATGACCTTCTCGTTTGAGCGCCGAGCGAAACTTTCTCAAAGTTGCGCTCCCGCTTTGGCTCGGCACACGTTTTTAGCTCGCCAATTCATTGGGCGCCGGGGCGTTCCAGGAGGCCCTGGGGTGACGAATGCCTGGGAGGTTTTTGCTTGTTCAGGCTCTTGGAGGGCCTCCTGAGTCTCCCCGCGGCTTCTTGGCGCTACGGCCGTCTGGAGGTCAATCTTGGGCGTCTTGGCACTATCTTTCGGCGTCCCCAGGGCTACTACTACTACTACTACTACTACTACTACTACTACTACTACTACTACCACTACTACTACTACTACTACTACTACTACTACTACTACTACTACGACGACTACTACTACGACTACTATTACTACTACTACTACTACTACACTACTACTACTCCTACTACTACTACTACTACTACTACTACTACTACTACTACTACTACGACTACTACTACTACGACTACAACTACGAATACGACTACTTCTACTACTACTACTACTACTACTACTACTACTACTACTACTACTACTTACTAGCTGCTACTACTACTACTACTACTACTATACCCACTACTAACACTACCACTACTACTACTACTACTAAACCTACTACTACTACTACTACTACTACTACTACTACTACTTCTACTACTACTACTACTACTACTACTACCTACTACTACTACTAACTACTACTACTACTACTACTACTACTATTACTACTACTACTACTACTACTACTACTACTACTACTACTACTACTACTACTACTACTACTACTACTACTACTACTACTACACTACTACTACTACTACTACTACTACTACTACTACTACTACTACTACTACTACTACTACTACTACTACTACTACTACTACTACTACTACTACTACTACTACTACTACTACTACTACTACTACTACTACTACTACTACTACTACTACTACTACTACTACTACTACTACTACCACTACGCGCCAGCACCCAGTTGCGCCAGCATTGTTTCTTATGTTGTGGGAGGGCGGAACGTGTCCGTTGTTCCTTTCAACATGGCCAGTCTTGTCGTCGACGTTGCGAAATTCGTGGCGGGAATGGGACGCGGCGCACATCCCGCGCGGACGTCAATGCGGTGTCCTGGGGTATCGTCCACTCGCACTGAAATGCCCGCGCAACCCCCAGTTGTGCCATCACTGTTTCTTATGTTGTGGGAGTGCGGGTGGGAATGGGCATGCCATGCTTGACTCGCTCGAGCTGGCTGGCTTGATGCGAACCCTGCCCCTACCCCCCACGATTTCTGAGGGGGAGGGTGGGGTTCACATCGTTCGGGAGCTCCCGAGCGAAGTGAACCCCACCCTCTCCCTCAGAAATCGTGGAGGGTAGGGGCAGGGTTCGCATGTGGTCCCCTAGTAAGGAGGACAGATCGGCGACAGGCCCCCCACGGCGACGCCACGCTCTCCCGGACGCGGCGCGCCGCGTCGAGCCCCTGCCGGCGGGGAGAAAGGACAACGATCTGGGAGCCGGCGCGCCCCGCCCCGGAGCCAATCGTCAGGTCGGGCACGCCACAACAGCAGCAACGACAACGACAACTACAGCAACAACAACAACAACAACAACAACAACAACAACAACAACAGCAGCAGCAGCAACAACCACCACCACCACAACAACAACAATAACAACTGCAGCAGCAGCCGCAGCAAAAGCAACAGCAGCAACAACAACAACAATAATTTGAAGATTGTTCGCTCTTACTGGCACGCGTGTCTTGCATTCCGTACACCCCAACCCTCGATACCCGCCCACTTCGTCTTCGATTGCGCCCCCTTTCGGGGGGAATCTCTTCCTTGTCGGCCACTGACTGAATTGCGAAGAAATCTCGAGCGAAAGCGCCGTTCCTGAGTTCGGGGGCCTCTCTGGCCAGGGGCTCTCGGAATACCTATGGAGACATATCGAACGGGAGCCCTTGTCCCCGTGTCTGGGTCCCCACCAACTTGCCTGAATTACGGGAAGGTCTCGAGCGAGAGCGCCATTCCTGAGTTCGGGGGACCTCTTGGCCAGGGGCTCTCCGAGTAAATCGTGGGGGAGTATCGAGCAGGAGACCTTGTCGTCGTGGCAGGGCCTCCGCCAACTTAATTGAATTGCGAGGAAGTCTCGAGCGAGAGCGCCGTGCCTGAGTTCGGGGGCCACTCTGGCCAGGGTGTCTCGGGGTAAACTGTGAGGAAGTATCGAGCGGTAGCCGCTGTTGTCGTAGCTCGGCCTCCATGGGCCCACATTTAAGCTCAAGCCAACGCTCGAGCGGGAGCCTCGTTTTCAGAGAAAATGTAGCCGGCGTCGAGGCGAGAGCGCGCGGAACCGTTTCCAGAGATCACCAATCGCTATTCTTTCGAAATGAGTACTCAACAACACCAACAACAACAACAACAACAATCATTTAAGACTGGGGACACTCCGTTCTCACCAGTGCCAGGGTTTTCATAGGAGGCGGGCAATACCCCCACTTTGTGGGGGGGCCGGTTCAAGCTCTACCAAATTTCCAAACGACTCTTCGCCACCACCCACACCCAGCTTCCCGCCCTATGACGTTCGGACACTTCACTTCGTGGCATGCGGACGACCGTGGCTACTATTCAGGGCCCCGCGGCCGACGACGACGGCGTGCGCGCGCGAAGAAAAAACGAATGTGTCCCGCATGGTATTATTTGACAGGGATGATGGCCCTGGCAGGTGCGCAACCGTTGTCGCAGAAGTTCGAAAAAGTTGCTCGCAAAAGCCCGTTTGACAGAAATGTTTAAAAAGTGTTGGTTTTCCGACGAATCCGCAAGAGCGCGCGGGATGAGATTTTGACATTTTTTTGTTGAAAAACATTGGTTTTTTGATGTTTTTATGTTAAAATCGCCGAACACTAAGTTTTGGAAGGATTTCGTCTTGCGCGCGCGAATGTCCACTTTACCTTATTTTTTGCAAGGGATTCTTGAAATTTGATTATATTAGAACAAGAAATGTCATTTTATAGTGTTTTTTGCAACGGAAAAGCGGGGGGGAACAAAACAACCGGATCTTGATCACATCGAATTACCTGAGGCTTCCTCACGAAAATGATGAAAATGTAGCTGCGGCCGAGGCGGCGCAGGGGGGCCGTGCACCAGGGGTCCCAACAATAATTATTCTTTAGAATTAATAATGTTCAACAACAACAACAACAACAACAGCAGCAGCAGCAGCAACAACAACAACAACAACGACAACAACCACAACAACAACAGCAGCAACAACTACAACAACAACAACAACAACTGCAGCAGCAGCCGCAGCAACAGCAACAGCAACAGCAACAACAACAACAAACATGTTAAGACGGTTCGCTCTTATCTGCCCGAGTGCCCTCTAACGCATATTTCCCAAACCCTCGATACCCGCCATTTTCGTCTTCGATCGTACCCCTCTTGGGGGGGGTCCTTTCTTCCCTGCAGGCCGGGACCCAGCAAGCGGCGGGGTGGCCGCGGACCGTCGGCCTGGCCAGCGGCAGCGCTGATCGGCGGCAACCCGACCCCAAGAGGGACGGACAGGGGACCGACCATGACGACGACGACGACGACGACGTCGACAAGACAAGACAAGCACCCATGAAGTCCTCTAAAGTCCACGATGCAGCATCGCTTAGAACTCTGGGCAGGCTG